GTCGTCGAAGGAAGGAAGCATCGCCTATTCTCACGAAAACACAAGCTTAGCCTCTCGTTTTCGAGGGTTGCCAGCAGACCCGTTCAGAGCACAGTGACCGTGTCATAGTGGACACGACAGGTTGGTTATCGCGTTAGGAAGTTGAGTGCTTCTCCAGCATGGCTGCATGTGCGCAACCTGGGTAACAGTAGGAGAAGGAGCAGCAGTAGCAGNNGTAGTAGCAGCAGCAGCAGCAGTGATTAGCAGCAGCAGCAGCAGCAGCAGCAGTAGTAGTAGAGGTAGTCGTAAGAGCAGTCGTCGCAGTAGTAGTAGCAGTAGCAGTAGCAGTAGCAGTAGCAGTAGCAGTAGCCAGTAGCCAGTAGCCAGCAGCCAGTGCTAGTGCTAGTGCTAGTGCTAGTGCTAGTGCTAGTGCTACTAGTGCTAGTGCTAGTGCTAGTGCTATAGCTAGTACTAGCTCTAGTGCCAATGGCAGTGTGCCAGTGCCCGCGCCCGTGCCTGTGCCGGTGCCCGTACCAGTGCCAGTGCCAGGGCTCGTGCTTGTGCTGGTGCTGGTCAGTGGCAGTGGGCAGTGGCAGCGGCAGTCGTAGTGCAGTGGTAGCGGGTGGTAGCAGTAGTGGTGGTGGTAGTGGTCCTGGTCGGGGTCGTGAGTCGTGGTGGTGGTGGTGGTGGTGGTGGTCGTCGTCGTGCTTGTGGTCGTGGCGGTGGTGGTATAGGTAGTGGCGGTAGGGGTAGTGGTCGTGGTCACGGTCGTGGTAGTAGTGGTGGTAGTGGTGGTGGTAGTGGTCGTGGTGGTGTTCGTGCTTGCTGAATAGTTCTCCCATGTCGTAATAGAGATACATAAACTAAAGTTAATTCAGTCGGAAAAGGCTCCCTTGTCGTCTTCTCGATACTGAGAGACCGAGGAGCTTGATGCTGAGAATCTTATAACGAAATGTTCAAAGATGACAGAGCTGTGCTGCGTGGTTGTATTACAGAGGGAATTAAGCTCGTCAGGTGCTAGCCTTTTCATTGGGCAACATCATAAACTTCGTCAAAATGAAGTGCGCTCAACGGAGTTGTCTTAGTGTTCTCCAAAGCCTAATGAGTGACATGCCTCCACCCTTGTTATGAGGCCGCCATCTCATGTTTTGCTGAAGGATGGCAAGAGCTCTACTATGTCTTGCTAGTGGTGGTGTGCAATCGTTACCCCTGTAAAGTGCCTGTAATGTACCAACAGTTTTCGGGCTTCGTAAGAACAGAACAGCGAGCGCATGCAATCAAGACGTCTTGCTGTCTTATTCGTGACGCACAACGTAAGAAGCTCGACATACTTTACATTATGGGCATATGTGCTTAAGATAGACTAGAGTTAGTTAACTTTGTCTGGAACATAAAGAGACACAGAGGTGGTGTCATATTCACACGAGGATAGGATCGGAGGTAAACTCTTTCTGTCATTGGCAGGTTGCAGGAACTCTTCTGGTTCTGGCCCTGGTACAGGGTGAAGGGGACTTCTTATGTTGGCGTGCTGAATCAGGATTTCTCAATGAGAGAACAGCTCTTCTCTTTCGTATGAGGAGCAGAACACTGATTACCCAAAAAGGAAAGGAGCTTGCTGGTGTCTTTAGTTCGGCGAAAGAAAAGTTCTGCAGTTGTTTCTCTCCACGGGTAACAGTCGGTAGGCATGCAACTCGGAATGGCAAACAGGATCCGTGTTGGGAAGCAATGGTAAGTGGAGAAAGTACTGCAAATACCAGGAGTCGCGAAGCCTGGGAGACAGCAGACTGAGACAGCAAAGTGTAGCGGCAAAGTCGGCAAGAAGGCTGGCATAAGGCTGAGTCTGCAGGATCTCTGCTCCCTCTGTCTCTCACTCGCCCGCTCACTCGCTCGCTCGCCGTCGTTTTCAGAATCCCTCCCTTCCGGAGCCTCTTGCAGCGACTCGTCGGCCCCAGGGCTACTGGTCGCACCCTTCAGAAACCTGAGAGGCGCCCACTTCGGTAGCTCTCATTTTTGGGCTACAGGGACTGTGGCCCCAAGATCTTTTCAATGGTCGAGGCTTGGGGCCTTGGGGCTTGCTTGCCGCATGGGGGGGTGTAGGTGTAGGCGCGATTGGCCATGGCATACCAACCAAGAACTCTTTGTGCCTAGCCCCATTCCGTACGAGGTCGAGCGCAGGGCTTTGGCATTCGAGGGTCGGTGGTGTCTAGATATTGGGACGTGGGGTTTTGAAGCTGGTGATTTGGGTTTCACAAGCCCTGATGGTCAAAGTCATTTGGTTCGTGGATTGGATCCTACGTATCACACACAGAGAGTCAGGGCATATACAACAACTTTCTTTTTGTAATCACTGTTAACTGGATTTCAAGCCAAACGAAGTGACTGCCATCAGTATTCCCTAGCTCCAGCGAAATGCTTACCATCTGGCCTCTAGAGACATGTCGGGCCATGCTGCATGCATGTGTTTGCTTACGAAACAAAATATGATTGTTTGACGGTACAGCAGGGCGGACTGTTGGCACGCGGAGGGTGCTAATATGCCTTTTGACTTTCGGCGGCGGTTACTGTATTATTGGAACGCCTACATTGGAGATGAATGCAGAGCCGCTCCTACACTCGGATTATTGGACCTCGGAGATGCGGGTGACCGGACCTGGTGGCTTGGATGTCTGGACACGGGTGGTTCACAACGCTGGAGGCAAGTATCTTTGGGATTCTTTGGGATTCCATCTCATGCACTCTTAGCTGGTTCACTTCTAGTGAACAACACATCGAACACATCTCCATGAAGTCAGGGCCTCAAGAGTTCGGCCTTTCGGGTCGCGGCCGCGAGCTGACATCACTTAGGGCCTTAGGGTTGACCTTTGCAAGATCTTAAGTGCTGTATCTCTTCCGCTATTTTGGACCTTTGGCCTCCAGGTCTTAAGCGTTGGCTTCGGCAGCTTTGGTCATGGATTTCTGGCCTGTTGAATCTATTGCTGCTCTCAAACAAGAGAGCTTCACGAGCCTAGGTGTTTGAGAAGAACAAGTCTGACTCTGATGATGATGATGAGGAGGAGGAGGAAGAAAAGGAATTTTGGAATTGCTGAATTAAAACAATCATAATACTTGTTACATGGCTTGCTTTTGTGGCAATTTGCAATACTGCCACCGCCATTGCTGTTCTGATTGCTTCATTATGATTGTCGCTTCGGTCCCCAAGACAGTGACGGGGATGCTGTCGTGCCGCCATCAGCAATACTACGCGTATCTCGTCCATCCTGCTCTGTGTCTTTTGCTCGCTCTTGTGAGACTCGTCACCACTGTCGCCGTGCTTGTGGTGGGAGGTGGTACTACAGACAAAGTAATCCTCGTCGCAGTTGCTTTGGTCGTCGCCATTGCAATAGCACTTAGAGATTTAGAGGAGTGGGCAGCGTGTGGAGCATTGGCTAAGACTCCGGAACTTCGGGTGCGAAGCCCTGGCGACGACAGTAGAAAAGTATTTCTGAAGAAGCTACGAAGTTGAAAGGATGCCGAGGGGCACCCACGGGTTCGAAAAGGTTGAGGTGAGCATGTTCTCGAACAGCTCGATAAACTGGCCTCGGTATGTTGTGCGGAGGCTGTGATGTGAGATTTGGTTTGAGAAAGGCGCTGAAGGTTCGTCAGAACAGCCCCCATGTGCGCTGCGGCTGCACGAGTGAACATAAGTGGACTGGCGTGGCTTCGAGATCGGCTCTAGCATTATTGCAAGAGCCTCTGTCTGCAAATCCCTTAAGAACTTGGCAACTCCATCCTTGAAAGCCTTGACCTTGAAGCGCAAGATAGTGCAAGAACCCCCCATGCCGAAGCCCTAGTCTAGACCCATAAATCAGAACAGCCTGGCCGCTACCCAAAACCCTCGACTATTGTTTCGAAGACCTTGCAAGGCCTTCACCTGGAAGAGAAAGCCCTGTGTGCCCGGCGAAGCTGTCGCCCACAGCTCTTGTCATATGTCTGCCACACGGCGTGCTTGATCATCGCATTCCTTTGTGCCGAAGCGGCGACCGCTAGTGCCATCCCGAAGGCTCGAGAACTTCTCAGACTTTGGCCAGCGGTACACAACATGGATGGGACAAAACTGCGGCTTCCTGGGTCTAGCTCTCCATGGCAGGGCGGTGCCAATGTGGACCTACTCATCTGGAACGCAAAAGGAGGCGAGCAGTATCCCCTCCCAGTAGAGCTTTTTTTATTTTCTGTGCAAAGCCGGAAGGTTTGTTACAGTCTACATGTTAGCGTGTCAGGCTGAAGGGGGCCTGAAGGGGGGCCTGAAGGCTCATGCCTCAAAAACACTCAAGCCCCTCAACTTCACACGAGCCGAAGCCAGAAGGAGCCAGTGCGAACTGAAACCCCGAAGCTGCGACGCAAAACAGGGATGATAACAAGCCGCCAAATTTGCGGGAGCGACGACATGAAGTCTAAGCTACGAACGTTTTGCAGCAAGCCTGCAACCGGAACCCCAAAAACTGCGCAGCTGTCTATGCCAGGATGCTGCTTGATGAGCTTCGCGTGCTGCGGGTATAGCGGTGAAAACCTGAGTGTGAGGGCCCCGGGGCTTCAGGGCAGCGCGCGTGCTAGCCGCATCTTGCTTTGCTCCATTGAAATGGGGTACGATCTCGTCATCGCACCAAAGAGGGTGTAGATCTCTGAAACCGTTACACCCGGCTGATATTTTCGTCAGGAGATTGTGTTCCCCTCTCGTCGCTCTTCGGCTCTCGGAGTTGTGTGTTTTTCAGGCTTTGGAATAGCTTTCCTTTAGCTTTCTCAGACTTTCTCAGTCTCAGCGCCCAGCGCCAGGGAGAGACAGGAATCTAGCTAAGAGCTCCTGAGTTTTCGAACCTGTCATTCCTACAGAGTTCCAGAATCTCAAACTTCAAACCTGAATCTCAAACTCCATACCCTACATTCAGAAACGCTCGAACAGTGGAGGTTGCTGAGCTTGGAACTAGCTTCCAACGCCTCAACAAGCCTACGCCGTAAGCACCCCTCGCTGCGACCTGGGCGCAAGTTGGCCGTCGGTGACCCCTCGAGCTTCGTCATGAACTCCAGCACGGCATCTTTCCTTCCGTGTGAGAGAACCCTTTTGGAGCCCCGAGACGAGCAACTTAGACCTCGGGCTGACATACTCCGCACATGGCTCAAACCGTTTCGATGTATTGCCTATGCCCACATGCCGCTGACAACATATCGGGCTTCGGGTTTCGCTGGACACCATGCACCCAGAGCCCACAAACGCTTCTGCTGTCGCCGCGTGTCTGGATTTCAAAGAACCTCGGCTGCTCTTGACACCTCGCCACGTGTCCTGATAGTACATAAGTGCGATTTCCGTCGACGCGAATTTAAGTTCATCCACGGAAGCGGAAGTACTTCAACCATCTCACGCCATGGTTTCGATGGCCCAAGCTGAGAAGTTCAAGACCGTCCTGTCTAACTGTGAGCGAGTAGCCATTTGATTCGCTCCCCGACGTAGGCCACGCGGCGCTGCAACGGCAGATGCGCTTCGTGACTGAGAAGCCTCGATTTTTGGAGAGGGCTTCAGTGTCTAGAAAAGGAAACGCTCGAGCAGGTTCAGGGTTGAGTATTCAGGGCTAGGAATTCGTCTTGGTTGAGTGCTGAGCCTCAGGGTGGTAATGCCAACCAAGATCTGTTTTGGCTAGGCAAACCATGTTTCCAATCCACATGTAGAGTTTTTGAACACTGAAACACAAGTTGGGAGATCTCGTCTCGGCATTCGGAGTGTGTTTGGCAGTTGTGGCAAAAGGCAGCACAAGCAACCGCCGTCAGTTGAATCTCCGTGGGCCCGCGGGGGCAAGCGAGCACGGTTGGAAACTCACTCGGCAAGACCACGTCACAGAGGCGAAGTGGTTCCCGACATGACATGATCTCGAACAGCGTGATGTCTACATACTGGGGACGGCCCGTCCATGTGCAACTCTCGTCCAAGCGGGCACGGGTGTCGGCTCTAGAAGACTCGGGCCTGGGCTTAGGGTGCACCGACGAGGAAGTCTCCGAGGAAGCTCTGAATTTCAAGCCCCCGCCCCCCCCACCAGAGATCAGCGAGAAGCTTCACGACCACGTCGCGCCATGTGAGCGAACTCATAGACACCCCACGAGCCTGGATCACCTGAACGATAGGAGGATTTGCCAAGTCCTTCAGCGAAAACCGTCCTAGCACCAGTATGCAGAAGGTCCAGAGCTTGGGTAGTCAAAAGGATGCCCAGACTAAACCATGTTTGGCTGACGCCGACAATCCAGTGGAAGCCGCTGGGTCCGAGCAGCATCGCGCTTCTTGATCTCCACTGCAATTTCCGAGAAGCGCCTGGGGAGCTTCGTCGCCGTCAGGATGCGACGCGGGTGGCGGGCTGTGTTTTGCTGTTCGGATACATGTCGCACTCCCAGCTTAAAGACATGGCTCAACCCTCAATCACAAAGCTTAAGATCCGTTGGACGAAGGACATGCTACTACAGTCACTCTGTAAAGCAGTGAGCGCAAGCCATTGATATGGAAGAGAGCGAAGCAAAGGGGCAAGAAGATCTCCACCTCCATCATCAGACGTCTAAACTGTGCACCTGCCAGGAAATCTGCGGCAAACCCACAACCTGAGGACCACAATGTATCCTGGAGAGCCTGAAGTCGCGACTCCCTACTTTACAAGTGCGGGGGCCCATGACGGTGTCTGACATGTTGCGAGCCGTCACAGCGTGTACAGACGGCTGAGATACGAACCGAGTGGGAAGGACGACTAGTCTCACATCACGGGGGACAGGATTGGGGGCTGCTTGGTGTCCCGCCACAGGCCTCCATTTACCTCCACGTCAAAGGCGCCGATCCTCGGCTAAGTTTTGGGTTTAGAGACTCGTCGTGTCGATTTGGTCCGGCTTCCGAGCTCAGGCCTTAAGCCTCTAAGCCGAACCCCCTGGCCCACGTCTCCGACCTTTTGGGGCTTCTCCCGCACGTGTCGCAGTTCTTAGGGCTTCCAAACCGGAGGATCCGGAGCATACAATACCAGTTCAGCGTTCAGGATTGAGCTTTCAGAAATCCGACTTAGGTGTCGGGCTTCCAGGAACGAGGGACTTGCTGCGCGCCCTGCTTCGGACTTCCGGACTCATAGCACAAGCCAAAGATTTGGATGGGATGGGGACGGGATGGGATGGGATGCTATGGGAGGAGGGGGAGTGGATGGGATTGAGAAAAAGAAACCCCCTCCCCCCTCCCCCTCCTCCTCCTCCCCTTGTCCACCCCCCTCAATTCGGTCCCCCACCCTCCCCTCCCCTCCTCTCCCCAAAGGCTTGCCCTTGCACGGACAACGGGTCGTTTGCAATGCTACGCAGAGAGCTAGCTTCCAGCCGTTTCCCTTCATCATACTTGTGTGCAAAATGTACGAGGATTTTGCTGCCAGAACAGATTTTGGATCATAGGGCTCTCGACGAATCCAAGCAGGTGCTTAGAGGTGAACTCTTGGCGCTTGGAGGGTCTGTCGCGGTTTCATGGAGTGCGGGGTGTAGGACGTGGGATTCGAGACAGAGTCATTTCCGGATTGCAGATTGTCTGGACTTGTGCAACCTGCTTGCAAGAAGCGCCGTGTCTGTGGAATTGGTCGATGTTGCACTCGATCTGTTTTTCGTAAAGGGCTTTTTGCTTTGTCTGCGATATGGACAGACCGACAGACAAACAAAAGGGCAGGGAGACAGATCGATGCACGAACAGACATGCATGCATACATGCATAACGTGCACAAAGATAGATAGACAGTCAGCCAGGAACCCAGACAGACAGGCGGGCAGGCACACAGACAGACGGATAGAGGATAGTATCTTAGGTGTGTTAAGTTTAATTCAATAAACTGACCATCTTTACCTTTTATGTCTTGGTCTAACTTTGCTCCTATAGGATTACATTATAATTCAGGTATATCTAAGTTAGTTTCATATTTATAGATAATTCTTAATGAGATATCTTACAACTAATTATTCCACCATCTTCCAGTTGTATCCTTTCACCTAAACATGTAACCTATACGGATGAAGAGAGCACTGTGGGTTAATTTAACTAACTGAAAACGAATAAGAACGCAGGCGTGTTTTATTTAATTAGTTAGCCCACATGTGAACGAAATAAGATGTCAGCTTTGTTTCTCCTTTTCTCTAGTTCGTTCGGCTCACACTCTTCTCACTCACTTCCTCTACCACCCAACCTAAAGAGAAGAGAAAGAGGTGCATTTTCCTTGTTTCGTTCAGGTGGCAAGGAAAAGAGTGACGCGTGTAATGGGAACGAAAGAAGAAAAACACGCACCCTTTTTCCCCTGCTTCGTTTGCCTACTTACAGGCATAGAGGAAGGGTAGATATAGAAAGAAAGATAGATACAAAGACAGAAAGATAGAAAGATTGAAAGATTGATAGATACATAGATGATAGATAGATTAGAAAATCGCTAGATCGCTTCATTGCTTGAGAGCTAGATAGATAGCATGCATGCTTACGTTTTTTCTACAGTCTACAAGCATCCATCCCTTCCCGTTCCCTTCCCGTCCCTTCCTCTCCCTTCCTCTCCCCCCCTCCCCTCCCCGGAGAAGAGTGGAGGGGAAGGGGAGGGGAAAAACCGTAAACTCTAGACGCCCTAGGCGGTCTACATGCATTCTGCATGTACTTCCACCAATGTCATGGTTGACTCACTCAAACGTATATTCTGTTGCCTATTTCCTATTTAGTGGTTTCATTTCAAGACACCTAGATTTTGTTGATCAGAAAGCCGCCAAAGGCTGTCCAGGACATGGTGGCAAAGGTTGGATCAGGCACCCTTGCAGGACCCTAGCAGCCCCTCTTTGCCTGGAAAGGGGCTGTATTTCGTTGCGGAGATAGTCGATGTAGTCGTTCAGGCTGCAGAAGTCCTGTGCGTAGTGACTAGTGTTCCTCCGTCGGGCTCGATCATTGTGGGTTTTGAGGTTCTGCAGTGGCCCTTGCAGGGCGCCCGATGGGCAGGTGTCCTCAGAGGGCAGCATGCTGAAGTGCGCAGATCCCAGTGTCTGGTGGTACGTGTGGAAGGCACGGAGCTCCTCGTGACGAAACGTTGCGTGGCGGGAGCAGGCGCGTTTCCAACAAAGCTGTGGGTTCTGAACGCAGTGGAGATACAAAGGCCAAGGTCTAGGGCCCACGCTTTTTCTCGCATCTTTAGCTGATGCTTCAACTCTTGGGGGCGCGCGAGCTCAGCACAAAGCACGGCACCGGAGGGCCTCGTCCAAGTTCATGACGGGCTGCAGGTCAAGAACGCCTCGAGCTCCGAGGCCAGTGGTCGGAAGCTTCGAGTCGGGCGGCAGGCATCGCAAGTTAAAAGCTTGCCTCTGTGAAAATTTGGGTTGTTTGGGCTTCCAGTCGAACTGTCGGATTATGTTGGTCTAGAAGTAAGAGGATGTGTGCGGGGTGCTGAGCCCCAGTGCACAACAGCATGATGCAACGGCCTCAGCCCTGAAATTGACCAACCAAGCCGCAGAAGCAGAAACCCTCAAACCGAAGGTCTTCAAACTCTGAAGCGCGCCTTCCATCACGTGCGTCAGCGCTGTGGCAAAAGAGATGCCACAATCGCGGGTGGTGCTCAGGATGCGATGTGGATCCTCGCGGGCACTTTACGCTTCCACGAGAATCAGAAGGACACTGCAGCAAGTGACAAAGGATGACCTCGGGCTTGCATGAGAAAACCAGATGTAGATCTAATCTTGTCTGTTGAAGTTCGAAATTGCCTCTTGGGTTTGGAGACGCGTAGAAGGCACTGAACAACCAGAGGGCGGGCTTCAGCACACGGAGAGAGAGCTGAACTCTAAACTCTCCAGCTCATGGTAAATCTCAGATCCAGAACCAGACTGCAGATGAACTGCACAGCTTTGAACTCTCCAAACTCCGAGCTTCTCGCTAAGGTTTACGGGTGACAGTGGGGAGTTGGGAAGGGCTGGCATTCTGTTGGGCTCTTGTTGCGTCCGTGTCGTTGTACTCCGTCTCCAAGTCCCTCTTCTGCTGGCTCGCCGTGGATTTGAGATCCTGGCCAGGCTTTCGTGAGGGAAGCTGAGGGAGCCTTCGAACTCATTTTTCGCTGAGGTTCGGCTGGGAATGCCTTCCTGCCAGAAGCTCTCGGGCTATTGCTTCCTGGATTCTGAACCCCAAACCTCGTAAGGCTTGAAAGGATGTCGAGGCGCTCCGGCACTCTTACAAGGGAAGCCTCAGAGTACTGGCGGGAAAAGGGCTTGCGGAGCCTACCCACTGCTGACGACACGTCTTCAAGTCAAAGGCTCATAACAACTCGACTCGAAAATTGTGATAATGCCGAATCACTGGCATGCCTTAAGGTTCGTGAGCACTGGATCGATGGCATCCGCGAACATCTGCTCGATCTTCTTCCTTGACTACCACCGGCATAGGATGCAAGGTTGGGGGTCAATGCAGTTTTTGGATTTGTCAGATTTGCGTAAATCTGTCTATGGTGCTGCTTCTCAGACTACAGGTTAACAGCTTCTGTAAAAGCCCTGGCCTACCACTCACGACCAGGCCTTTACTGCTTTTACCCTTCACTCAACCACTGACCTCCTCACTTTTGGACCGCTGATTATGCCGGAGGAAAAATAATGTGGGTTCCGGCGAGCATAGGACTCGCTGTTTCCAGGCTGACATAGGCAGACTCCCACATGGCCAAGACTGGGCCAAGACTCTCCATGTACTTCACGAAACTCCTGAAACCGATGGTGCCCATGTAAAGGTCGCTGAGGCCCTGCGGAAGCTTTCAATCTTCAAGGCTCCAGCGACGCATCCTCGTGCGAAACTCCGTCAAGTCAAAGGTGCTGTCAGGATGGGGCTCCCGCCTTGGAGGCCATCTGGTTGCGGTCTTCCGTGTCCTTCTCGTCCTAGCGCGGCTCGAGCGTGAGGGGTGTTGGCAGGAATGGTGTGTGAACAAAATCTGCGAAAGAACGCAGCAACCCGCCCGAAGCCATGATAGGAGCCTTATGTTGCAGAGTCCTTGATGTCATTGAAGGGTTTGGGCATCGGGCTGGTGTCCGGCCACCACGGAAGGGTCATTGCAAACCTTCGCCGGGATTTGGGCTTTCTAGGCGTGTCTTCCTGTCTGTTACTCGTAGGCAGGTCATGAGACGGGATATTTAAGCATTAGTAGGTGGTCAGCAGTATAGGCAGCAGCTCGCCAGCAGTAGCCGGTGCAAAAGGATAATGTCCGGTAGCTACTAGCAGCAGCAGCAGCAGCTGCAGCAGCAGCAGCAGTAGTAGTAGTAACAGTAGTAGTAGTAGTAGTAGCAGCATGAGCAGGAGTAGTAGTCGTAGTAGTAGTAGTAGTAGTAGTAGTAGACGTAGTAGACGTAGTAGTAGTAGTAGTAGTAGTGGTAGTAGTAGTAGTAGTAGTAGTAGTAGTTGAAGAGCGTGCTGAACGTGCTCTTC